GTGAGCCTAAGCCACTGGCAGTTCTCTCCCAAATTTGCCCTAAACCAAAGCAAATACATACCCCTTCCCCTCCTTAAGCTGCCTGCTCCACGTGGCTCCTCCTCTTTCTCCTTGGGTTCCCCTTCAGCTGCATGAGACCCTGCTGGAATAAAACCTTGCACAAGAGCCTTTCTTGCCTCTGTTGCTGAGCCAGTTGTGGTGAGTGTTGAGTGGAGGTTTGACTGCATTGCCCAAATCTTAACTCAACTTGCTTTTCACCAGGAGAGGTTTGTTGGGGACAAGAAACAGGCAGCAGCACCTGCCATTCTGACACCTGCATTTTTATAACCTCAGAATCTGCCAGTGGGACACCACAGTGATCCAGGAGACTCCTGGGGCATGCAGATAACAAGCCCTGGAACACAAGGCAGCTGAGGAACAATCCACGAGGCACTCTGCTAAACCAAAGCCTTCAAAACATGGGAGGACTCTCTAAGGATGTGAAGATCTGCCCTGACAGCAGTGACCATGAGATGGTGAGTTCAGGAGAAGGACAAAACCAAGGATCACAACACTGGACTGGAGGGAAGAAGGCTTTGGCCTCTTTGGGATCTGCCTGGGACATGGGACACCACCCCAAAGAGAGAGCTCCAAAGGAGCTGGCTCCTGCTCAGGGATTATCTCCTCCAAACCCTAGAAGGGTCCATAGGGACAAGCAGGAAGTCAAGCACAGGCAGCAGGAGGCCTGCATGGATGAACATCACGAAACTCTGATATAAAAGGGAAGTAGAAGCACTAACTTCAAAAACAAGGAGACAGACACCACCAAATATGCATCCTGGTTCATGTGAATTTGTGTGATATGTGGGTCTAAGATATAAAAACCCCCAAAATAACAAGAGATATTAATCAAAATAAAAATAAAGTCATCCTTCAGAATTAAGAGGGAACAACCTGGCCCAAAATCTCAGGTTTACCATTTTCTGTCTTTATATAACTGCGTTGAAAGACTTTTCCTCATAATTTGAAGCAGTATAATTTAAATGTAACATTTGTACAGGTACTCAAATGAAAAATCTCCAAAAACATCAACAGCCATGGAAATACATAAATGAAACAACACCTAACACCTGTAATGATTGAAATTAGGTTATTGCTACTTTTAATCCCAGCTAGGTGTTACTGCATGACCTAGAGAACTTCCTTTGGATCATTCTGTACTATTCTGTCAATGTTTTCCTTAGGATAATCTTCCTCTCCTGCCCTTCTGAAAAACCACTCAAACAAGGAGCCTATCTGACCTGCTTTCTTACACACAAAAATGTTACAGAAAGTGAAGTCACACTAGCAACCAACTCATTTCCAATCACGATTCTTTGCAATAACAGTAATACTGCTACATAAAACAAGCATAATTAAGTCCCTTTTAAAATAAAAATTTCTAAGATGCTCCCTAAAGAAAGATGGAACAGAAACAATGGTTTCCAAAAGAAAAAAAAAAACTGTAGGTGTTTTCATAACAATTACAGGTTTGATAAGTTGGAAGAACAGAAGTCTGTTGTCAAAAGATAAAAAAGAAGTTTATTTCAAAAAGAAAGGTCACACCACAGCAACTATATTGTTCTTTAGAAAAACAGCCTGCTTAACTTCCAGAAAGGGATGATGATGGGAAAAAATGTGTAAACCCGCAACGAGAATTTTCCAGTAGCAATGCAGCACTTCAAATGTGAGTGTGTGGCAAATCAAACAAATAGCAGTGAAAAGTATGATCCAGCTCTCAGTGAATCATCAAAACCAGTTGTCTGTAGACAGACCAAACATCAGGGGCCTTATCAGCTAAGCAATCTGTCCCAAGAATTAAGTTCCTGTTCAGAGCAGTGGAAACCAGGCACTACTTTCCCTTCTCAAATTAAGTGTTCCCTCAGTAATTTGTGAACAAGAGAACATCACCTACTGAACAGAAATGTTAATTTTGCTACTGATGGTTTTCACTGTATTACAAATTGGAGTTTGGTAGTTTAAAAATGCAGCCTTTGCTTATCTCTATAACTTATTGTAATGTGGCTACAGCAAAATTTTAGATTTCTAGGATTAAGTGACCACTAAATCTGCATTATCTTCAAAACCTTGTATGACTTACTAGCCCCAAATGGCTTTAAAATATACAGCAACTCACACCTAAGGAAGAGCTGAAGTTAAAAGTTGAGATGATTATATAAACTCTGATCAAAAAAGGGAAAAATATAAAACTGATATAAAACTGACATACCAACCAAGAAAATTAAAAATCAGACCTATATTTGCACCTGTTTCACTGCTGTGTAAAATAAGCAAGGAATTACAAGGCAAAGTTTGCAACTTTATGGTTGCAACACTGCACACAAGTCAAAACCCCTAAAACTACACTTCCCACAGCAATTTTAACTCAGTTCAAATTTGCAAGTAAAGAAGTTAGAAATATACTATGCTATTCTGCCTCTTAAATACTACAAACACTGAAGCAGGAATGTGGGAATCATAACTTTAATTTTATTAGCTTATATGAATTCAAGATCTCAAAGAGACTATTGCATTAAATATCCAAACAAGTCTATAATACTAGTTAATAGTAATTTGTTTATTCTGTTTATGAACCCACTGCTGCCCCTTTACTGTCTCTGGTTGTTGCAGTTACATATGGAAATAATGTTAAGAATGTGAAAATACTACATGGTCTGTTCAATCTTGATTTCTTTTTTTTTTCAAAGCTAATTTTATTTAGATGAAACACAGAACTTTTTACTTTTTGGTTTTACACAATGATAAATGTGGTATGATAACTCTATCGTCATCCATTGGTTAAATGTTAACACTACAGCAAAGATTTGGAAGTCTGCTTCCCATGCTTAGGAACAGTGATTATCACTAGCCTTCAATTCTTCAATTTTTCAGAACTATTAAATTCAGTTTAGGGCTTTTTTGCACACCTATGATGAAGAAAGTTTGTGACTAGCCCAGAACAAAACTTGATTCATTAGAATGATAACCCAGCTTAGAGAAAATATTTTTATGTTTCCCCCTTGCCTTTCAAAGTTATTTTTTTTTCTATATCAAAAAACCTAAAACATATTTAATTGATGCAATTTTGTGAGAACAAAACTGTGGTAACATAATTGTCACCCTTGACTGAGGCAGAAACCAATAGGAAAAGATGTAAAAAAAATTAGATTAGTGACTTAGTTGACAAAGATCACTGAAATCTTCACTCAGAACTAAGCACAGTACCTTCTTCTTCAAAAAAAAAGGGTTCTTCTCTAAATATCACCTTGTTAAAGCAAGGTTTTAACAGATTAACTGACTGGCTTTGTCATATCTAGAACAGCTTTTGAGAATTCCCTACCACAAGTGCCAGAAGCCAGTTAATTAGGAAATATAAAGGTGCATGAAACAGTACATTTTCATGTAAAAGGCAGTAAGAAAAGTCTCCCGAGGCATTGGTTTTATACTTTTTACTCAAACATTAACACAGCAATTTCATTTAAAAGGATTTAAGTCAATGCACACCTACCGCTTTGGACGCTGGCATCGGTTCCCTTGGAAATCTCATCCAGAGAGTTCCCAAGGCTGTGCCAGAGGCACCACTGCAGTCTGCTTTAAAGCTCTTCAGGTCAACAGCACTGATAGCCAGCACTGATAACCAGCACTAATAACCAGCACCAATAACCAATGGAAAAGGCCGAGCCAGGGACAGGCATCTGTCCTCTGGAGCTGCCAGCCCTGCTCCGTGTGTGACCAGTGGTGGTGACCCTGGTGCTGCAGGAGCCAGAGGAGACAGCAGACAAAAGAAACTGGAAGCTGTAGTAACAGAAGGCATCCACAATTCAAGTCTCATGAAAGTAACTTTAACAGGCAGCTCTTAGAAACATGACTCACTTTCCTCCTCTGGTTTGATTCTGGCTGTAGCCAGAAGACATCAAGAGAAAGCACATGAGCATTTCTACCAAGTTAAAGGTTATGACCCTTTTATTGCCATTTTTGAAAACTGCAGCACCTGACTCAAAGAGTTATGATATAGGCTGATAGCTGAAAACCTCAGTAGCATTTCCACTATTCAAATTCACAGTGATCTTCAAGCACAAGTAAGTATTAACAACATGAAATTCACCCATTCTATTGTTTAGGATAACCAATAACTTTAACCACTGTGGTACTCTAAAAATCATGAGGGTTTTAAGTTAAACTTCCTTTTATATCATGGTTAAGCAACATTTCTTTCATCGAGTAAAGTGTTACAAAAAAGGAAAAAATAAAACAGTACTAGATTATTATATTGCTGTAAATTCCAGAATGTACTACTATCAGGAATTCAAAACAAATTACTACAGCAACCTTTTAAATAAAAATGAGAAACAATGCAATAGCTATTGAAGACCATCCACAGGAGCAAAAAAAATTAAGTGAAGCTGAGTTACAGACACAAGTTTCTGAAATGCTGAAACATAGTTTGCTTTGCTCTAACACTGGAAGATGACTGAAAACTTCAATGCAAATTTTGTCTGGAATGAAAAACTTTATACATGTATTTAATGGAAGATGTTAACTTTTACAATGGAAACAATTCTAATTCCTCTGTCTATCATCTAATTACACGTAACAGATTTTTACTGTGCTGCATGAATTACTCCATATTGAAGTTAGGTAAAACAGCACAAACAGTTGGCCACAGCACTCTAAACATGCCAAGTCATGCTGTTAAACACAACCACTGAGCAAAGTGGTTTCCTTTTCATCTGTTCTATGAAATAGGTCCTAACAAGGAAGAGTGTTCTGAGTTACAAAAATGTAGTTAGGCAAGTGGGATATTTAACTTACATTCCTGCTAATGTAAAAAGTCAGGCTCTGATCTAAAAACCTTAAAAATTCTTTAAATTCAAAAAGCTTTGGAGCAGGCCCACAGATGCCAAAAAGAGTATTTGTTGGACATTAATATACTCTATAAAAAATCCTCCTGAAAAACAAAGATACTACAAAAAAGAAATTACCTGGAGTGTCTTGTAATGATCTTGGTGTGGAAGCACTTTTTCTTTTTTCTCCTTCAAGAAATTCATTTCTAGCACACTATGTTTTTCCAGCAAATATTCCAATTCCTATAAAGTTTGCAAAATAAAACACTTGAAATTACAAACATTTGCAAATTGTGAAAATACAGATTCATTAAACCATTCAAACTAATTTAACTTCTGATAACTGTGATATTTGCTCTATTAATTATCCCAGAGATAAAGTGTTTTGCAAGAAAAATCTGACTGCAGACTTTAAATTGGCACAGTATTTTCAAGTGTGAGGTATTTAAAACCCAAGGCATGTCTCATGTATAAGGAATGACCTATGTGAAGTGGCCAAGGTGCCCTTAATAACATCCTCTAACTTCTTCTGAACCCTGAAGGGTTCAGGCAGCTGGACCTGTAGTTACAGGTCCCTTCCAACTGGAACTATTCTACTCTGTTCCAATTATTTTCTTTTTTTTAGTATCTTGCTCTGCCTTTCTGCTCTTGAAAAGCAGCATATTAAATGTACTGTCAGCAAATGTTTTCACTGAAAAGGCAGGAATCCTATGACATCTATGCATGTATAAAATGATCTCTATCTACACCCCCAAAATGAATAAAATCTTAAAATATTCTGGGATCTTGCAGAGAGCCACCCTGGAAGCCTGCCCAATATGAACCTATAGAGAGAAAGGAGAATAACACCAGTGACAATAAACTTCAAAATTATTTGCTGTACAAAGAGCTAAAGATTTTTATTTTCCCTTAATGCAGCCATTGCTGTTGTATGTTGCTGGCACCCTTTCAGTTGCTCAAGAGCAATTATTTCTCCAAGCCATGCAGGAAGCCAGTATAGAAACAAATGACCTGCCAGGTCACTGCACAGCTATTCAAACAAAGGCACGACTGGGAAGGTCATGAGGAGGACAGAAGGAGCAGGTCTTCTTAGTTCAACCCTGCTTTTGGACAAAATAGTCAAAACAGTTTGAGTGACTTCACTGGTGAGACAGAAACACCAATCTAAAGCCTCTCTCTCAACCTGTCTCCTCTTCCAGCCTGGATTCCTGCTTCCCTTGAACCTTTCCTTCACCCACTTAGCAAAACCAGCCCATTGCAGACTTCCTCATCCTTGGCTCCAGTTATTCACCCTCATTTTCATCTCCAAAAAGCTGTTTTCTCCTGCCCCAGCACAGCTTGAGGCCTCCCAAGAAAAAGTATTAAGAATAACAGAAGTTTAACTCACTCTCCCATGCCTCAGTGACCTTTTGCTAATTCAGATGTGTAACTGCAGGCACACCCCTGCTTGGTGCTCATATTGTATTCAGGTCAGAAGGAATATGAAGAATTTAGCTACTAGATCTCCCACCCCAAAAAAATTCAAAACAAAGCTCATGCTGAGAAAAGTTGTATCTTCTTTTTTTTGTCCCTTTTTTTTAATCAGTTAGGCTAAAAAAGTTGTGCGTTTGTTGTTTTTTGGGTTTTTTTCTGACAGTTTATGAAAATTCAGCCTAAAATAGACACCAGACCTAAAGAAAAAGTATTTCAGCTAAATTGAGTGGTGTGCCCAGTTCTGGCCAGTCTCTAGAGAGCATCCAGAAAAGGATAATGGCGATGGGGAAGGATTTGGAGCACAAATCTGATGAGAAGAGGCTGAGGAAAAACAAAGACTCAAGGTGACCTTATCTCCTGTAGCCAGGTTGGGGTCAGGCTCTGCTCCCAGGACAAAGGGACAGGACAAGAGGAAATGGCCTCAAGCTGTGCCAGGGGAGGTTCAGGTTGGACATCAAGAGGAATTTCTCCATGGAAAAGGGAGTCAGGCCCTGGCAGGGAGTGCCCAGGGAGGTGGTGGAGTCCCCGTCCCTGGAAGTGTCCAGGGAATGCCAGGATGTGGCACTCAGTGCTCTGTGCTGGTGACAAGGTGGGGACCTGGCACAGGTTGAACTTGGTAGTCTTGGAAGTCATGGAAGTCTTTGATTCTAAATTTGGCCAGTTTCGCTGGAACTTGGCTAATTTCTATGAAAAAAATGAATTTCAAATTAATTTTAAACTTCTGCCAGCTCCCCCTATACTTAATTCCTATATAAATGCCAAATGTTTTCCTTCAAAATGACTATTCATACCTTTTTGATTTTTAGTTTTTCTTCTTCAGCACTGCAAAGCTTGATTTCAAGGTTTGCAACAGCTTGTTGAAGGCAGCTCTTGGGTTCATTTGTTCTCTTTGTCTCAACATCAGCTAAAGTCTTGTCTTCAGTTACATTTGAAGAGGCAACTGGAACATCTGCTTGAGCCTAGTTCAGAGGAGAAAAGTGGAACTGAATCACCTCTCTCAATGCCTCAGGGAAGCAAACTCTCCTTGGATTAGTCATTCCATGTATTCACCGAGTGCACACTGCAATCAGTGGTCACAGAGAGGGAATACAAAGGGTTTGTGCTAAAATAAATATCTCATCCTTAGGCTAGACTAACAGGATGAAAGTAATCCAGACATCTCTAAACATTTAGTGACTGTTGTTTCAGTAAACTGTGGAAGTACAGAAAACAGGTGAAAAACTGATGGTAAGCCCACACTTTCAGAAATAAAGTTGTTTAAGATGTTTAAAACATTTTGTGGTATAGATAAACAAAATTCGAAGCTTTATTTCTCCCCTTAAAAAAAAAATTAAGGACAGGGCAAAAACTTGTTCTTTTGCCACAAAAGAACTCCAAGGAAAGAACAATTAATGTACATTAATTCAGCTGCCACTTTTTCAACAACCTGAAAGCCAAGCATGTGGCTGTGAGATTTGGGTGGTGAAAGGAACATCTCAGTGTCTTTATTGAAGAGAGGTTTGACTGATCATCCACCTCATCCACACCCAGCACCTTTTATTCCAAACATGCATTTAGAAAATGCATGGTCTTTCCCATAAATATCTCTCAAATTATTCAAATAAAGTAACAAACAAAGCTGAGATCTTGACTGTACATGGATATATAAGATACAGTAGACAAAACAGACAGAGAGAAAACTGCAGTTGGTGCTCTGAACTCTCCTGTAAGAAGCAAAGAGAAGCCATATGTGCCAATTCCATTCCTGAGTACTACTCAAGATCAGAGTCTGGCACCACCAAAAACTGTGAGTATGGAACCTTTAGCAGGGAAGGATTTTTTTACCTGAAACCTCAAGAGGCTCTGGAGATAGAATTATAAAATTCAGTTCTACTAACACCACCCTCTAATAGGTATAAGAATATTTTATTTTAGTTTTCTGCCCACCATTTTCCTTTCGTTTACTCCTTAGTGCAAAGTCAGCTCCATTTCAAAATAATGTTAAAGGACCTGCTCTCAACTCCCTTCAGCAGGACTCACTAATAAAGTTTTTTAATCTGGACTATTTCCTGCATTACAGAGAATTTTTAGAGAATGATGGGTCTCTCAGTAGCTGAACAGAACAAGATGAGAAAAGCTGAAACATGAACCACAACTAGAATTTGCACACACACTTAGTCTAAAGTAACAAAGTATATTTTTTATTTTTCTGAAAATTACCAAACTAAATGACTTTATCGTTTTAAAAAATACCCCTAAGCCTTAGTGTTCTGGAATAACCCAAGTTCTCTTTCCAGAGAACACAAAAGCTAAAATTGCTGGCCTAGCTCAAACAAGAAAGGTTGAAGGTTATTCACTGTTAGCCAAAATTTAAAAAGGCAGGATCTGTGGTGGCTGAAGAAAATCACTTTTTGATCATGCTTCCAGTAAAAGACATTTACTTATCAAAACTTTGTCAAAGAGCCTGATGAAGAGCTTCAACACAGAAAATTACCGCGCCTGGCATCAGTCAAAAAAGAAAACAAACACTCCTCCCTCTCAAGAAACAGAAACCCATAACTTTTGGATTTATACATTTCTTTGATATTATTTGCATTTGGTCAGATCTCTTCTTCACTATTTATAGGCTTTCCATGCTACATTGGCCTGGGAATGAACACAAAATGGTAACTTATTAACTAATTAATTCACAATTTGAGCCACACTCTTTCTGGAAGTGTGAACATACAGATGCCCCTCAAAGGAAAAAAGATAAGGCTCCGTTAAACCAAAACCTGTATTTTGTGAATTTTTTTTAAATAGTTCTAAAGAAATGCATTTAAATGATCAGAAAATGAAAATCTGACTTAATCATGAAATTCAGCTTTCACCAGGAGCAGCCTTAAGACTTGATAAGTCTACCTGAAGAAGAAAAAACCAAGGAAGTGCTGAAAACAGGAGAGTTGACAAATAGCCCAAAAACACTGATTGCTACACAGTGAGAAAGAGCCTTTTCTAATTGAAGCATGTACTACCCCACATCCTGAAACAAGGAAGTTTACAATGAATTAACAAGTTCAAAAGGGGGTCACTGCAATTAATGGCAGTAAAAAACTCGTAAGGGTAAATCTATTTAAGTCTCATCTGCAGCAGCTCTTGTGATTCTGATAGAATTCTTATGATAATCCCCAGGCAGAAAGGCTTTTTCCTTCCTTGCTCACATAGTTGTTTAGTTGAAAACTAAACATTTTCACACCCCAGAAAGAAACAAAGCTCAGTTCTCAGCAGCACTGCAGCCACCTGAGAGATTAAGAACCCACAACTAGACCACCAAAAAAAAAAATCAACTTTAAAAGTAATGGGGAAAAAACAAAGTAAAGCAATTTAACCCCCCCCACCTAAAATTAATATCATTATAATTAGGTAAAGATTAAACATTAATTCTTTAATCATAGAACGTTTTGGATTGGAAGGGACCTTGAAGATCATCTTGTTCCAATGCCCTGGCATGGGCAGGGATGGGATGCCTTTCACTACACCAGGTTGCTCAGAGCCCCATCCTTGAAAATCCTAAAAACCTAGTTGAGAAAACATACAAGTATGACAAGCTTTAACATTAGCCAGGTTTTTGAGAGAACCTTCCTGCTGATATTTCCTTCATGCCTGGAAGGAAATCAGCATGGAAATCACCATCAGCATGCCTTTTAACTTTTAATAACTCCAATACAGTTATCTCTCTTGCAGCTCAGATCAAAGTAGTATGGTTTCTATCAGTTATAGGTTTCATAAACAATCTAAAAATCATTTCACTTCAAAGTCTGCATCACAGAAATCCAAGAACCTTTTGCCCTTAAAAAGCATTTCAACCTAAACGTGCACAAAAAAGATGCAACACTGATATTTAATACACTGAGTTCTCACACTGAAGACCAAAACTTTACCTGTTCTTCAGGAACAGCTGGATTTATCACACCCTTGCCTGTTTGAATAACTGTTGCCACATTATCACTTGATAAAATGAAAGGGTCAGAAGGAAGCAGGCAGGAAGAAGGCACAGAGTGCTCCAGGAGAACATCAGGAGATCTATGGACTTCAGGTACTAAAAAACAGAAAACACGCACAATATGGAGAAACACCCAAAAATTAGTTTTGTTTCTGGAGTCCATGCCTAGAAAAACCCATCACAAGTCTAGTCATACTAAGCTTATGTACCTCTTACAATTCAATTGCACTGAAAAGTAATTCACCTAAAGTGCCTGAGTTTTTCAGTAGTATCAACTTAAGGACAATCAAAATCATAATAAATTTAGACTTACACAATAAATTCAGTCACAATCAATTTAGACTTTTAATTTACACAGAGGTTTTACAAGACAACAGCTCTCAAAAGGATCAGTTTTAACTCTGTCTCCTTTGATTCACACAGACTTACAGCTTCAGCATGATCTGTAACCAGTTTCAGTCAATGGGAAAACTATATTCATAATTTCCCAAGTTTTATACATTCTGAAGTTAAAAAAATCCACAACTGTCTTAGAAGCCACATACAGTTTGCCAAGGCACACAATAAAATAGCTTTATATTTTTTAAGAGATAAAAATACAACAAAGTACATAACTCTCTATCTAATAAACTTGAAGTGGAATCAATTCTGGACTGAGAGCTCTTCTATACCAAATTACAGTTATACCATAAAATGCTTCAATAGTGGATCAGCATTACCAAGCCAGCACAACAGAAAATATTGGTTTTAAAAAAATATATAAACTAAACAAACTAAATAAAAAGAAAGAAAAAGAGAAAGCTTTGCACACATTCTTAATTTAACAGCAAAGTCCTGCAAACTTTTGACACTGTCATTTCCAGGTGTGTCATTGCAATAGGCAAAAAAAGCACATCCAATTGTTTCAGAAAAAGCAGCTCCCATTATTATTACAACTCTAGCAACATGTAAAAGATGCCACTAGCCTGGAGCAAGGCTCAGCCTCTGGATATCCTGTTCCACACTGCACAAGTACTCAGTACAAACCAGAGTGTATAACTGGCCTCGAGGCATTTAAAACTCACACTAACCCTTGAATCCAGGCACTCTCTGTCCCACCTTCTTCAGCTGCCAGCTCTAGGATTCAGGAATAACACAGAGGAACATGCAAACCACATTGAATGAAAAGAAGAAAGAAAATAGACCATGAGGCAGAAAAGTATCAGTAGGGTAACTGCAATGATAGTAGATCTGGATGTGGCCAAAAAAATAGAAAAAAAAAAAATCACAGCTCAGCAGAAGATGGAAACTTGGCTGAAAAGCCTAGAGGAGAGTATTTCAGCAAACAGAACAGGAACCAGTTTAGGTAACTGCATTTTAATAGTTAACTCTTCTCCACAACTGGAAACTGGACTTTTTTGGCTTTCTTTTAAATACCTTAAGATAAAACTCCCCTTCCATTCCAAATGTCTCCTTTCAAATGCAGCTTCCAATAACAATTACCTACTCTGTTAGTTCAAGTAGCAGTGAAGTGACATATAAAATGATCTTTTTGTATCTAAACAAACCTTAGAGTCTCAGCTTCATGCTATCACTTAATGGCGTGAGTCTCAGTTTTAAATCAATTTCCATCTGATTGAAAAACAGCTAAAATAATGTACCAGGCATCTTCTGACCAAGCAGGCAAGTGGCTCCCTTACTAAAACTGTCAGCTCACATGGAAAAACTGACCATGATCCTTGTGATGAGAGTGTTCAACCTTTGGTGAGGATTACCATAGCACAGGCATAGTTCACATATAAATAATTTATCACAAAACTAAAAACATCCATGGAGACTGGGCACCTATGAGGAGTGTAGACTTGCTGAGATTAGAGCTTTAGGTATTCACATATTTTGGGGTGTCCAATCCTAGAGACAAAACTCCATTTTTCAGGTAGTAGAGTTTTATGTGCAATCTCCTACAATCAGGTGGAGCTTTCAGTAGTTTAATTATAGTAATGAATGCTTTGCATCTTAAAGGGGAGAAAAAACCAAACCAGAAACAAAATCCCCACTCCTTAAGTTGTCAAAATGAAGCCTAGGAAATGAGGAGCAAGCACTGGTGAGCACTTCTGAACATTTTGGTTTAAAGTTTTCAACTAAACACATGACCTTGCAGAAGACAAGAAAAGGTGGCAACTCTCCAAGGTATCATTCAAACATCTTTTTTTACAAAACCTTCTTTTCACTTTTCAGCAATGCTAAAGATTCATAAATTAGACATTCCTAGAACTGCATGTGCTATGTCTGTAATTCAACCTCTCTTAATTCATTCCTCTTGTGTATATACTGGTGAAATTGCACTTAATTCAGCTCAAAATTCGCTTATAAAGAGAACTCCTAAATCATTCCTGCTTACCATGCCTTAGTTGCCATAATGGAACAGTTTCACAACCCCTGAAACAAAAACTTGCCTCTGTTGGAACTACTTGACCTGACTTCAACAGGCTAAGTCTGATGAATTTTCAAATAAATTTATTGTTCAATGATCAGAGCTGCAGCACTATAGAGAAAAGAAGCATTCACTCAATCACAGGTATATCAAAAGTCATACACCTGAAAAGGCTGAAATAAGATGCAGATATAAGTTATTGCCATAACTGTACTTTAAAACTATCTAATAATTTCTGAAGACCAGGCTTCCCAAAATTAAGAATATTCTGACATAAGTTTGTATGTAAGAGCTGCCAGAACCATGCAGTTTGTTAATAGCAGCAGAGAGCAGGGACAGCCTGATCTTCAGAAATTATTAGATACTAATACAAGGAAATGCAAGGAAAATTCCGTGTCTTTTAGCTGGTAATGAAGCTTAAACAATGATTAAAATTCCCTGGGGGGTCAGAAATTCTGAAAACAAAACCAAATGGATGAACATGAGCTGTTAAATCAACATTCCAATTGAGTCCCATCCTTCGTACTGAGTGAAGGATGAAGACATCAAATATCAAATGTATCACATGGACAATATTTACTAACTGGATGTTAGTTATATCTAGCAATTAAGAAGTAATATGACAGCAGAGCTCTGAGAAAAACACCATATAAAAATTATTTGACATATTTTTGTAGAATGTTGCAAACTACTTCTAGCACAGTTCCACTACATGTAGGTTTCAGCTGTTAAAAATAAAAAAAAAACAAAACCAGAAACAAAATTAAATTTCCTTCCTCAACTCCCCTTTCTTGATATTACAATTCAAGGACCCTTTCAGTTAATCTGCATACACTGAAAACTCTATCCCTGAACATTTTCATTAAAAGTAACATTCAGGTAGAAAGTTTGAGTTTAAAACTGGTTTTGTGACCACAGTGGGAAAAACCACTCTGATGATTTCTGGTAACTCACAGCACAAAGCTCTTCCCCACATTTTATTCCTCCAAAGCCAAACTATTCTAGAGAAAAAAAAGAATTGCATCTACTATCCTAACATTTTAAATCTACAGCCATGTGGTCCATACTACCAAAAAACAGTAAGAAGCCCAAGACCAATTTCAAGGGCAAAATTGCAATGAAGTCACCGTTGAGGCCTTAGAAATAATTTCTGAATTCTGCCTGCACACTGAAAAATACAGCTACAGGCTTCAGTGTTTTGTTTTATAACTTCCAAACAGCAGACATGGAGGAAATTCACAAGGTGAGTAACTTCTCCTCTGGAAAGTTTATCAAACCTTGGGTGCATACAAAGTTATCACCCCCCAGATTTATCAAAATCACCCCAATAGCACCATAATACATTTGAATTTTTCAGCAAGCCTTACTAAGAAATTTCTAGGGTAAGACAGGAACATGTTTATAGATAGATAACATAGGGCAGACAATTCAGTTATTTCTGTTACTAAAACCATCCACCTAGAAGTCAATGCCCAAGAAGCACTTGGACAATACAATTAAAACCTTGCCTATTGCAATAAACTAATTTATTCACAGCACTATTTGCATGAAAAAGTCACTTAAAGATTTTACAGTAACAAAATATCCAGAATTCAGGAGTTTTCTTTTAATTTTGAAATGTTTAAAATACCTTGGTATAACTTATCCCAGGACTTCTGTGTCACTTAAAATCATACAAAAAACTTCTGTGTTATGTACAAATAATTTCAATTCTACACACTTTACAGAATTTAATTGGACTTCACTGACAGACACTGCATAGCTCTATTTGATTTAATTTATTAAACACATTAAAACATGCTACTGAATTTCAGCAGTAATTTTAAAAAACAGTCAAAATGACAAGATGAATAATAAAGTTATTTGGAAAAATATTGTTTCCTTAGTATTTGTTTCCGTCTGTTTCAATGACAAATAAAACTAATTATTCTGTAAGAGATAAAAGCAAGAAAGAAATTAATAAAAGCATTTTAAGAACATGATTTACAGAGAGCTCATGTTAAGAAAAATCCCTGCCTTATTTTGTATCATTTATTCCTCATAACAATACAATGTGGGTTGTTGGTCATTTTTTCCTGGTGCAGCAAAAGTGTTGTTCTGTTTTGTGAAATCTAGACCACAACAAAATCAGTAAGACCTCCAATATATTTTTTGTTCTATTGATAATATACATTTATCAATAAACTTCTATCAATTTTCTAAAATCCAGACAGGCACCAGGCACTTGTATAAATTAATACAACAGTTCCCTAATGTTTCTGCTTCTGCTTGACAAAAAGAATGTGTAATATATTTTTCAATTATATAAAGGGCTCAAGTAAAAACGATTATTCTCTTCCCCAAAGCAAGTAAAACACTTCATCACAATCCCATTTTTAACTTTTTCTGTTTTCCCACAATTTGCAACAAATCTTCCACATTCAGTAGAAAAGAATATCCTTTGAATGAAGAACTTTCATTCCTTTTCTACTGTATAAACTGAATTTCTCTTTCATTCCTCAATAAAGTACAACTTTGAGAAGTGCAGCTTCCCAAAATAATTGCTCAGGAACGTTCTTATGCTCAAGCTTTGACTGCTGGCTATTCTTTTATTGTCCATTATTTTGTTGTGTACACCCTTCTAAGCCCTGATTTTTACAGTGAGTACATAATGACAGGAATAGAATATTAAGATTTTTTACAGTGATTCTGTCAATACCTGTAGGAAATGCTGCCCAAGCAATAGCAGGAGATGTGGTCTGCTTTTCACCATTTCCAAACTCATAACTCTCTGCTGCCTGGAAACAAGAAGAAACTGTTACATATTTTACAAAATGCTATAAATGTCCATAAAATAGTTGAAAGTTGTTAAATTTCAAAGCAAAGTTATCCAAACAGCTTACCTCAAATCCTCCAAAGTCATCATCATCCATCCTTCAGCAGGCACTAGAACACAAAAGAAATCTTGATTTTAAAACATTTTCATAACCTCATCCCCCGCTCGCTCAGGAATGAGCATTCAGTCCTTCCCTCCAGTCTCATCTGCACATCCCACCTGAAGTCTCCATCATTTTTTAAGTCCTAAAACAGATAAAGGGGCCTAAATGAGAACTTTTTCACACAGAGGATGCAAGGCCAAGAACTGCAAGATCTCGCTTAAGAAGCGCTTTTTTATTGATCAAGTTAAATACAAAACATTGGGTGTTTTACAACAGAACTTGGGTAACTTCAGGGGAAAACATAAGCACTGCCCATCAACATAGTCCAAGATCTTTTGAAAGTAAAAATGCAGGAAAAGCTTCCTCATAGAGGAAAATATGAAGATGTCACCTCAATGTTATATCTAAATATTTCAGGTATAGCAAACTGGTCCCTGGTACCTCTACAAATGGTACAACAACCATCAAATAATCTAGTCTGGATATATATCTATATCTATATCTATATATATATATATATATATATATATATATATATAAAATAAACAGATAAATACATAAATATGTATAAGAAATAGGATTTCTGACCACCAGACTCCAAATTGTTGGGTTATCTTTACTCATAAGGAAAACAATCTATCTTAATGCAGTCGTGATCTACCATCGACCTCGTATAGTTTTGTGTTTATGATTTAAAGCATAAAAAATATTTTCCATTGTTAAGTTGCTTTTCCAAATCAGCACTGTGATTAAATCCAAAAAGATTTCCTGCTTTTCCCATATCTTCTTAGCTGTCTGGCAGCATCAGAACAAACTGCAGCTTGGAAAAAGACTGTGGTGAATTTCTGGAAATTTTTCTCCTACCACAGAGGTCCGTCCCTAGGTTTCATGGAGGGACTGATTAAGATTTTACAAACTGATCAGCATTTTTGACTTGCAGCCCTGAATTCTGTGGCATTTGGATATATTTATAGTTAAATTGCAGTTCCTTTTAAAAAAAAATAGCAGGCTAAGTTACTCAGCCAATGAAACTAACTCAAGATATACAAAGCTGTTGAAAGAAAGGTATTATGTATTAATAATATATATATATATATATATAGGTAAATGAAGGAAGGATGATCCAAAAAACCTATATGGTCTTTTTAGGATGTTAAAATGTTTATAAAGCTAACTGACTTCAGTTAACACAGTCTATAGGCTGGATAAACTTTCATTACTGCAGAAAAGATGGAAAGGGACTGTTTACAAGAGAGTAGGTTCAGACTGGATGTTAGGAAGAAATCCTTTCCTGTGATGGTGGAGAGGCCCTGGCACAGGGTGCCCAGAGAAGCTGGGGCTGCCCCATCACTGGAAGTGCCCAAGGACAGGTTGGATGGGGCTTGGAGCAACCTGGGATAGTGGAAGATGCCCCTGCCATGGGACTGGGTGATCTTTAAGGTCCCTTCCAACCCAAACCACTCTGTGATTCAATGATAAATCATCACTATCACAGTGTAACTAGAAATATTTGTCTAAACTGGAGTATTGTTCAATAGTCTCATGTGGTATAAGAACTCCTAGGGACTAGGAGGTGTTTTGTTGGCTCTGTGTCAGTTGGGTTTTGTGCTGGTTCATTTTCCAAGAGAGAAAGAAGGTAATTGGGTATTTTTCCAATCAGTGTTAAGGTTAATTGGTCAAACACAGCATGCAGTCTATTAACATTCAGAGCTTTAACACACAGCTCAAGAATGCAGCACGTGTGTGCAGAAATAATGGATGGAGATTGTGTGGACAGCACAGGACTGCAGATGAAGACAGCACAAACTGAGAATGACACTGTATTCATGCCACATTCTGGGAAAAACCACCCAAAACCAGACTGAGGACTGACACAATCGCTGCACAACCCAGTGTTCAGGCACCAGGCAGAGCAGCCAGCTGGAGAAAGGGAGCCTTTAGAAAGGCAAACAGGTATTTTATCTGTGATACATTCTGTATCACATCAACAGGTCTTACAGGCTCTACACAAAGTTCCTTCAAAGCAGATTTTCTCCACAAAATGCATGAGACATTATTCCCATCATCTCAGAACTGGCTCTGTCTCAACCAGAGAAATTACATTCAGCACTGTATTTTAAAAACACAAACTGGAACGAGTTCAGAGGAGTTCAACAAGAATTAAAGCAACTTTGGAAAGGCATGCTAAAATGGAGAGTCTCTAAAAAAATAAAAGGCAAACAAAAATAGAAAATATGTAAAATCATGTTCTAAGAAGTGATTAACTACTTTGATTTCTCTTCAAATACAACACTGACCTGAGGCAGTAAAGACAGAAGGCCCTGTAAGGAAAACATGTGAGGATTTCCATTTCTCCTTCAAGAGCATTTATAAGAAACTATGCATAAATAAAACAGAACTTTTGATAGAGAAAAAGAATATAGGGCAGAAGAAAAACTGGAGAGCAACCTGTTATTGAATCCATCATCTTTTTTACTGCATTTCATATACAGTTTTTTAAGCCTGGTAACAATCCCAGGACTATTCTGACCTAAGATTACCTTTACCCCACAAATTTGAAACACAGACATTTTGTGGCTGTAACAGCATGAATAATTTACGAATTATTCCACACATCACTCCAATGAAACAAAAGATAAACAAATCCCCAGCAAGTCTCTGTAGTACAAATGGTATTTTCACATCTAGATGCTAATCCTCCAATTTCCAGTTCTTCAGAAATCCCACAGGAATGACAGGCCAAGTGATTCTCCCCCAGGTGAGAGAATTCTAGGTCTCTTTGCTCTTTGGGTGCATACAATATATATTCATACATGTATGTGCACCTCTGTTTCAAAAGGAAATCCTGATTTGTTTCCATGCTTTGATTGCTGTGGACAAAAAAAAAAAAATCTAAAAACACCAATAAATTGGCAAACTCAACGTGGGTCATAAATATGCAGGCAGCAGGTTAGGATAGAAAGCATGGAATAAATCCTGAGGGATGCTGATAAAAGGCACTTCAAAAACTCAAAGGCTGAGGTTCTCTTCAAAGAGTGCTGGTGCAAGAGTTCTTATTAGGTGATGTATTTCCCAAAATATGATCTCTTCTTGCATAAAAAGGGAGCCTTCTGCAGGGAAAAGGGCCACATCAATGTTACAGGAAATGTTTAGAAAAAGAAATAGGAGACATTCACAGTCTTCAAAGTACATGTGCATTTAGCTCTAAAAAAATGTATTAATAATTCATTATAAATTTAACTGATAACAATGCTGAAAATTTGACCAAATACAAAATTTCTCAATTCTATTCCTTATTCTCATTATGTAAATGCATTTCTGGTACAAATAAATAACAGAAGTAGCCTAACACCTCTCCTTAGAACTGCAACAAATCTGGGAGCAAGTTCTTTAAATCAACCATTTATTCCAAAATGGGGAATCAGACTTTTCTTTCCTCACTGGGTAGGAAATTATTTGTGGCACCAGGATAGGAAAGAATACATTAAGTGCTGACAATCTCCAGGATTTGGAAAATAACAGAAAAAGACAAAACAACCCACACAGTCTTACCATGACTAAATGTGGTCTCTTGAAATATGCCCGATACTGGAATTAAGTAACTGTAAAATTGGGCAACAAGAAGTCAACCTCAAAATTACAGAGTCATAGAAATTATGGTTGGAAAAGACACAGTAGGTCATCCAGCCCAGGTCATTTCCAAAACATTGCAGTTCTCAGACAGTCGTGTCCTAAAAGGCTTGAGAAGCTCTCCAGTCACATGCCACGAAAGGAAGGAAACTTTCCATGGACAACGAATATGCAAGCCACTGAATTTTGAGAAGGTTTTATCAACAAGTCTGAATCCACCAAATGGAACAGTAAATTCTGCCAAAATTCAGACCAGCAGGTCATCCAACCCAAGCTCCTGCTCAAAGCAGGGTCAACACTGCATTTCAGAGGAGGTTGCTCAAGGCTTTCTCCTGCATGGCTGGTAAGGCTGTGTGATGGATTTATTCAGATTGATGTGCATCCCTGAGAAGCTCACAAGATTTCCTGCACCAAATCCAGTCACCAAAGCCTGGCCAGCAGCTTAAAACAGCTCATGAGAACTTTGTGAGATGTGCTTACCTAACAGACATGCCAAAAGCATGTTTTTATACACAGGAAGAACAAGAGCCATTCCCAAGAAATAAGGCAGGAAAATGTAAGCTGGGAAAAAAAAAAGCCCCTCTTTCCCATTCCAACAGTTAGGGGGAAAAAGAACACTGTAATCCCACCAGAAATCCAGGTATTCTTCATATGCAAAAGCCAAAAGTGGTGGAAAGAGCAAATGGTCAATTAGGAAGAATTTCTCATTCACATCCACCTCTGGTTAGTGAGAATTCAAATTAATCAAGTCTTGATAATCTAAATTTGCCTAGGTAATAGAGATCTGATTCTGTCAGGTACAATCAAGTGACTTCTGTACAACCTGGCCTGGAAGTTTGAGTTTGTGGCCATATTTTGTACATTTTAATGGAACACCTGACAGATTATACTGTTTTTTGTTTTGTCAGAATGGTGTGTGTGGAGCTGCCTGAGGGTGGGGCTGCTGCATTTGTATTTCTGGCAAACCTCAGGGTAACTTCCTATCTGTGACAACCTAACAGTTTTATTTTCATTCTTATGTTTCCTAAACGCCTCATCCAACGTGTTCAGTCCAGGCAGGTTATTAGCTGTCCCTTGACTGGATATAACATAGGCCACAGCATTTGAAGAATAAATCTTTGGCCAAAACTGCAGGTTCCAAAAAGTCTACTCAGGATAAGTATGAGATGTAAAAAAAAAAAAAAAACCAAAAAAAACCAAACAAACAAACAAAAAAACCCCAATAAAACAAAACTAAAGACACGTAATTTAGAAAGCATGTACAGTGATTGGATATCAGGGAAAATTTTTTCATCAGAAATGTTGTCAAGCATTGGAACAGGCTGCCCAGGGCTGTGGTGAAATCACAGTCCCTGGAGGTATTTAAAAGACATGTAG